ATGGGTGCTGCCCTAGTTATAATTTCTTAACGTTATGATGATCTCCTTCCTAAGATCACAAAGCAAACTCCTCAAAGGCTGGGTCTTCATTTTACTTCTGAATCTCTAAAATTCCATTTATGAGCCTGTAGCACAAGGAAAAATGTGACCGCTTTGTCACCTGTGCACTTTTCCTCTGGATATATGCCTTCTCCAACCTCTCTCCCTGGCTTCCACTTCACCTTCCTGATAACAAGCACCAGCTCCGTCTCTGGCACAGTCCACTTTCCCCGAGATCTAGAGGCAGAGGTGCAACTGGCTACTGGACAAGTCCAGATTGAAAAGCCTCAAAAGTTTCAAAGCTAACTCAGAAACTTGACTGGCTCTGTCTCTCCCTTTCCCTACCCTCTGAATTCAAGCCCCCTGCTCATACAGGAACACAAAAGGATTTTTTTTTGAACTGCTCCAACTTTTTTACTTCCACGTATACAACTGATCACTAAAAGTTGCAAATTCTAGTTAAACCATGCCTTTCACTTTCAGCTCACTGATTAATGTTTGCTGACCCGAATTATGAGAAAGGATTAATCCCTTTAAAGTTGAAAAAGGAACTGAGTTTCAGGCAAACATGGAGTAATATCTTTCAATAGCCATCTAGCCAAACCTCTTCTCCTGGTATGACTCTCCAAAGTAACCATTCCTTGTCTCTCCAAACATGAACACTATACTGCCCACATTATTATCAGAGCTGGCTGCCTCTTCCAGATGTGGCTATCTTTTCTACAATCTGCCAGCAATGCCAGACTTATTGAAACAGTACAAGAGGCTTTCAAGGTTAAAATAGATTAGTTTTGGAAAGAAATGGCTCACATGTTTAACTTGGCTGCTTTTATAAAAACAAGATAATCTGGCTGGAAATTTACAATTAACCCAAGAGATCCATCCAGTAGTCTAGTGAGAGCTAAACCACATCAGGCCTGGAACTCACCAAGAGGCTAACTTGGTCTCTACAGAGGTGGAGGTGGCCATTTACTTAGCAACCATCCTCATTCTCTTCTTCTGGTTTTACTTTTTCAGTATCACTTCTTTGTCCCCAGCTGTGGCTGTTACTCTTTCTTCACAATCCAGTGACTCCAGACATGGTAGGTTCATGTGTTATCACAACTGCCACTTGCTTTATTTTCATTTAGCATGAAAGTGTCACTTCCCTTCCTTGTAGTCTCTTCAGTTTCGTGAATATTTCTACATCTCTTACAACTCTGAGGGCGAATATAATAAAGTGGGAGAATCCTAGCAGAAAGGTCAAATCTACTAGTCTGGATCCATGAGAGTCAGCGTGGCAGAAAGACCTCTCCAGGAAGGCCCAATGGGGAAGATGAACGTGGAGGCAGTATTCTAAAGAAATTTCTAGCTTGTCCAGTTCAAAGCCATTCTGAGGGTTCTTTTTAAAAGTTTTGGAGCTTCCAATTCAAACATCAGTGCCTTGATTCTGAAACAAACACAAGAAATAGCTATTTCAAAAACCCGTGAAAGAGCATGTGACCCAGCAGGGTTAAAGAAATGGTACATTTCAAAGGAACTTTCTGTAAGGGTGACAATGATGCTTCAAAATAAAGAAGAGAACAAAAAAAATTTTTTTGTTAAATAAAAAAGAAGGAAATTATCTCGGTGGCACCATATCTCAGTGGTTAGGGCACCAGCCACATGCGCCAGGGTTGGTGGGTTCAAACCCAGCCCAGGTCTGCTAAACAACGATGACAACTACAACAACAACAAAAATAGCCAGGCATTGTAGCGGTCGCCTATAGTCCCTGCTACTTAAGAGGCTAAGGCAACAGAATTGCTTAAGCCCAAGAGTTTGAGGTTACTCTAATGGCACAGTATTCTACCAAGGGTGACAAAGTGAGACTCTGTCTCAAAAAAAGGAAAAGAAGAAGAAGGAAAGGAGAATAACAGAGACTTCAGAGTAAGGGACTTAAGTTTCTTTAACAGTTATGATAAGCAAGCACACCACAAGCCTCACAGAAGAAAAAAATTAAATAATCATTGTGAAAATGTTCTGGCTGTTAAAAACAGCTATACGAATTAATGCTGCTGCCACAGTAATAATGGAACCCATATTAGGGAACTATCACCTTAACATCCCAAAAGTAACCTGAACACGCAGAATCCCAGAGCTGGGCAAGTTTCGAAACAACAAAGAGAACTTCACCAAGTGGCTTTCAAACTCCTATAAGAGAAAGATAACTCAGTATATCACGGAATTTCACAATCAAAAGGGACTCTGGCATCATTTAATCTTTGTCTCTTGCACTGTCCTCCAAAATTACCTTGTCTCTGCCTTGCTCCTTCCAGAGACAGAGATTGGCAATTCATAAATTTATTCTTCTACCAAACTAAAATCTGCTTCCCAGTAACCTCCACTCACTGGTCTGGATAGTATTCTCCAGGAACCCATAAAACCAGGTCTAATCCTTCCATGTGACAACCCCTTGGTCACTTCAAAACTTTATTCCTATTGTCATTTTCTCCAAGTTTAATGTCCCCAGCGACATGGTCTCATGCTTGCTCACCATTCTGCCATCTATGAGAACACAATACAGTTCGTTAAATTCCTCTGAAAGACATAAGTACCTAGAGAGGACCCCACTCAACCTCTGATGGCCTCTAGAATCTCTATAATTTCTCAGCGCTAGGTATCTTGAACTGGGCCTCTACAGGACCATATGTACTCTATGGAGCGTATCTGGGCGCCTGTGCCCGGGGCATTTCTGTTCCTAGAACCAAAGACAGCAGCCTGAAGCCCCCCAAACCCTGTCCCCAAAGAACTGGGCCTTACATTGCCAAGGTTCACTCTCTTACCTCTGAAAAGTCTAGAAACCCTGGGGCAGGAGGACCTCAAGATGCGACTAGAAAAGGCTCTGATAGTCTGGGAAGTAGCCAGGGGTCGGAGGTGTCAAGAAGTGGCCTGGACGCTGTGGTAGCGACACGAAGGAAGTGGCCTCAGTGGGGCTGAATAGCTGGGAAACAGGCGCTAATGGCAGAGAAGGGCCAGGAAACTGCCAGACAGACCCCAGGATGAGGAAGCGATCAGTAACCGCATGAGGGCTCTGGAAAGTATCTGGCCTCAGCTCGTGGGGACTGAAAAAAAGGTGAGCAAAGGCCCGGGGGTCAAGCGGCGCCTGGTCACGATCTAGGCTGGGGTCCCGCCCCTAAGGTCCCCGCGCCTCCGAGCACCGCCCACCCACCGGAGTAGCTAGGAAGCCGGGTGCTCGGGGTCTGGGGACTCTGGTCCCGGAATGTGGGGGGCGGCGGAGTCCCAGTGATTCCGACCCGGTACCTACGCGAGCGGCAGAGACCATCTAGGTCAGGAACCTCCCCGCCTACCGCCCACCGAAAGTCCCGGCGCGTGGCAATGACGTCGGGCCAAGTGCGTCGCGCGCCGATGAAGTCGGGGCTAATGGCGGCCGCCTCGACTACAGCGCGGGGATCGTGGCAGACTGCGGCTCCGCGGAGGAGGCGCTCGGCTGCGCGGCGGCCGCGGCGAAGGGAGGTGGCGGCCGGGGACCCAGAGACAGAGCTCGAGGCGGACAGCGCAGTCGTCCTTCGTCGCGTCCGGGAGGCCGAGTGAGTGAGGAGGGGTCGGTGCTCGTTCGAATCCTCGCGTCCGTGGTCAACTCTCTGAGCCTCAGTCTCCCCATCTGTAAAATCAGGATATACTGCAAACCCTCTAAGGGTTTTGTGAGGACTTAACGGAAGTAATAAGTCACTACAGGTCTGGATCATATTAAGCGTTCCGTAAAGGTTGTCTTTCCTTTTAATTGTAGTTGCAGCTGTGTGACCTTCGGCCCCTTGTAATCTGTGTGCCTCAGTTTTCTGTCTGTGCTATGGTAATAAAAATAGTACGTACGAGGCTTGTTTTCAGAATTCAGTAAATTCGTAAAGAGAAACCATTTCTTGGCACGTGGTAAGCGCTCTGTTTACTATTATTATGCAAATGTTATTACTGGTGATGTTAAGAGATAACGAACACGTGATTGTTGTTATCACCATAAATTTTTCGAACAGATGTCATACACCTGGCAGTAGCTTAAGCATTCTACATTCTTTATTGTTGAATGGGCCGGCCAGGCTAGGATCCTGGTAGGTAACAGTCTCAAAGAGACATAGGGAATGTATGGAACCAGATTTCAAAGCTAGGTCCTTATGACTCCAAAACCTGTTTCCAGCTCTCAGTTATTCTGGACTCTCCCACCCTAAATCTCCCTATGCTTTGTACCTTAGAAAGTACACAATGCCTAACACAAATAAAGCACTCAATAAATGTTCATCACTGTTGTTACTCATAGTGTTTTTACCTTTATTTATTTACAGTTCTGTTAAAGCTGAATAACAAACAGCCTAGTTAGCACTCTAGGTCAGCATCTAAGAGCCATCACAAGAAAAAAATTAATCTGAGACTAATTTTGTGTGCTCAAGAGGAGTGTCCATTCAGAGGTTACCTTTGAATAGAAAAAGTTGCTGACCAGCTAGCTGAGCCTGAAACAAAAGCAGCAGCAATTCTTTCTAAGCTGTCAGAAGGGGCCAAAGTGAATGTGGGGGACTTTGTAGGCACTCTTTTTATCCCTTGACATTGTTACTATTTCCTCAGCTTCTTCAGTATACCCCAGAAGCTTCCTGCTTCTCTCAGCACCCTGAGTAGAGAGGGACACAACACTTTACATGCTGATCCATGGTCACACTCACCAGTTTACAAAGAATTTTGTACCTTAGCACTCTCCTTTACCCTCTGTGAG